TCTATTTTTCAAATTACAACTACCAGAACCAGGGGGGAAAATACTTGAATGCCAAAGAAATTCCCCCTTAATACTGTCTCTTGGGATGCTGCTTCGCTGATTTATCACTCAGCATTTCGTTTTTGCACTTAAGAACTTAAACACATCCTACCAAATCCAAGTAAAGTTATACTCATTTCTTTATTTTATATAAAAAAATAAATAGGCAATAGTAAACATGCAGAAGAAACATTTGTTTATTAAAGTTTTCTGTCTGTAAAGAGAGTCTGAGTAAACAGATATATTCTTTATGTACTTAAAAAAAAGAGACACTACTGTTAAAATTTATAGTACTAATTATTTTTTGTGATCTAGAATGAGAGTTCATTGTAATTGATAGGATATATTAACCAAGTGCACAGAAAATAAAAGTCCCAAGATAGATAGTGCTATTGCAGTAGGCAAGTTAAGAGCCCTCTAGGGCAAAGACCAGGAAAAGTTAAGAAAATTATTTTAAGACTCCTGCATGAGGTTAAGGGATGGAACAACACAAAGAGGATAGATTCTGAAATAAAAAGGATCAAGTAAACATTTATCATCATCATCTCAATTACTCTTTCTTCCATTCCATCTTCAAAGGTCCTCTGTTGGTTATTTCTTTCCTCAAATGTCCGTCATCAATGCTTCTCCCAGTGTCAGATCTTAAAGGCGACATGAGAAGACCCCTCCCTTCTGAAGAGCACAAGGGTTTCAAAGCTCTCAAAGTAAAGTTTCTTCCTACAGCAGCAGGACTTCAGGAAGGGCAGTAACCTTCACTTAACTGTAGCAGAGACGCATCCCTCACAGAGCCTCCTCCATATCCTCTCTTTATGCTATTTATGCATTAACCTGTCTTGGCATTCATGCTACGAGCTAGTCATAGTTTCCATGAAATAACTTTTGTAAAAATCTGTCTCTGATTGCTTGTGATGCTGAAAGACCATCATTTTCCCTGGGTTTCATAAAAGTAAAGGCATTTTTCTACTGCAAGAAAGCACAGTGGTGGTAGCAATCAATGTTTTGTAATTGGATGAAAAAACCAGTAAGACTCAAAGGCTGCATCCTAAGAGGTCCCTCTTGTTTGCAATTGGCAGAATACCAACTGTTTCAATACAAGCAATGAGTTGCAATAGACTCAACTAATTACCTCTATTCTGCTTCTACTCAACTCTTCTTACCCTTGGTGCCTACTCTGTACTCTCAGAGGAAGAAGATAAGCAGATGGATGTGAGCAGGTGCATAGGACCTTGTGCAGCCACTAGCCTTGACAGCAATTGGTCAACACCCTTGAAGCCAATTAAACTCTTAGTAAATGGTTTCCAAACTCCAGCAGATGGCCTATTGGTCCCAGTTGTGCTGTTCAACATCTATATGACTCCATATAAGAAACTAAAAACTGGGAGTTAGAGGATTGCTTCTCTCTAGTATAGTCTACATAACATTTTATGATTTTACTCCATAACTAGTGTCTTTTCTTCATAATGGAAAGTTTGGCCTCATTCTGTTTTCTCCACTGATTAGAATGCCACAAAGGGATGACAGTTGTGTGGTTAACACTCACCAAGGACTTGAATATGTTTTCATTTTACAACCAAGGAAGTAGATGATTAACTGAAGCTGTCACAGCTCCTACCCCACACAGTGAGACACTTATTATTGTAACTCAGTTTTAATATTGATCTTCTTGGAAGATAACAAAGTTACCATTATAAGAATCTCATTTTAATGAAACATTTCTGATTTCCAAATATATTTTTAAACTACCTTTTCTATTCCTGACACTTTTCTGAACACTCTGAAGCTTAACTTCAAATGAATGATTTCAGAACTTTCCTGCCAGAATATTTTTCATTTTTCCTTTATTACATTTAGAATCCCCCAGATCTTTCTCATCCACTCTCTTGTTCTTCCTATTTCTATTTCTTTTCTCCACTGCCACCCACCTTCTCAAACTGGGAATGCTATTGTAGAGCCCATCTTTTTAATCAAAGGTTACTTTAGAAGCTGATATCCTGAATACATGCTCCTAAATCCCCTACACTTTTGTTGTTGTTGTTGTAGTCTCTAATCAGGGACTGGAGTTTGGCTTTTAGAACTCCAAGGAGAATGTGAATTTCCTTTTTGGCATGAACATATACCCACATTGCTTGATGCTACTAGAGTGTTTTCCCAAATCAGAGTCAGAGTCCTGAAGGAAGAATAGTTATAGGGAAGGGTGTAGGGAACAGAATCAAGGAAATACATCTCTACAATGATTCTCCTGAGGACATTCTCAGGTTCTAGCCCTTCTTCCTGGTAGCCAGACTATTCTGGCTTTTATTTTACAATGGGAGAGGTCCCATCTATCTGGCTAATGAACAGTCTACAGGCATTTTCCCCTTTTCTAGACACAGAATGAAATGAGAAAGTTCTTATGCCATTCTTAAATCAATTTTCAGATATTTACTTAAGAAACATTCACATGATACCAAATCACAAAGTATTTCTCTTTTATTCCTCGTAGTCAAATGAAGTTTGTTTGTTTGTTTTTTAAAGATTTTATTTATTTATTAGAGAGAGAATGAGAGAGAGCAAGCACATGAGAGGGGGGAGGGTCAGAGGGAGAAGCAGACTCCCTGCCGAGCAGGGAGCCCGATGCGGGACTCGATCCAGGGACTCCAGGATCATGACCTGAGCCAAAGGCAGTCGCTTTAAAGTTTGTTTTGACTTGAATGTTCTTAATTGCATAAACAAGGAATATGGGAGAAAGCAAGTGAGGTATGAATGTGGAATGGAGCCCTAATGGAACTGACAATGAATTTTCTCTTTGCTTGCCTACAAGAAGGTGTTTAATTGCTACGGTTATAGGATGAATTGGGTCCCCTTGATTCACATGCTGAAGTCGTAACCCCAAGTACTACAGAATGTGACCTTTTTTGGAGATAGGGTCTTTACAGAGGCAGTCCATCTACAACGTACAACCTACAATTAGGTAGGTACTAATCTACAATGACTGATGTCTATAAAAGGGGAAATCTAGACATAGGCATCTATAGGGAGAATGTAATGTAAACATGAAGATAGCCATCTACAAGCCAAGGAGAGAGGCCTGGAACAGATCCTGCCTTCATTGGGAGTAAGCCTGACTACACCTTGACTTTGGACTTCCAGCTGCCAGAACTGTGAGAAAATAAATGTCTATTATTTACACCACCCAGTTGCTGGTACTTTGTTACAACAGCCCTAGCAAACTAATAGAGCTGCCTATTTCATTGTTTTTCCTGGAAATTAAACTTTCATTTTTTTACTTCAACTGTACATTATTGTTTAAGAAACATATACGTACATAATTTCATAGTTAATCTCTTAAGGGAAAAAAAATTTATGCTCTTCTTTAAAGATAATGTCCTGGATTTCATGATAAAGGTCATGATAGCTGTGGGAGATGTTGAGAATCATTAAAACAACATTTTACAAGTGAATAAACTGAGGCAAGTTTGAAGCCTTTTAAGTCATCCAGTTAGTTACTGGTAAGGACGGTCACATGGTTCCCAGTTTCCATGTTTTCCTACTGTAGCACACAGCCATCCTTAGGTATTAGCCAAGAATTACATATCATGAAAATGGTTTTGCCCTAATTTGTCATGTTAAAAAATGTTTAAATCAGGATAATATAACAATAAGTAGAAACTTAGATCACAAAATAGTTTACCACACTGAAACTATTTAATACAAATTCCTGACACATACTCCTAATCAGACTTGATATTTTCACTGTTACATGGTAATATATATTTTTATACCATTTTGAGATAAGCATAGCATTGAAAGGTGCAATATCTCAGCCCACAGAAAGATTAGGATTTTCATTTAAATTCTGCATATCTAAGCAGAGGAAAATGTCCAGAGGACCATGTGTGCACTTGCTAATTCTCAATAATAGTTTTCACAAGTTGCCTGTACATGCTCAGGCAGTTTTCAAAGATGAGTATTTTAATTCAGTTGCTACTTATCACAAAGCTAATTACTTCTTGATAAATCTTTTCTGTTTCTTTTCTCCTCCAATTATTTTCTTTGATACTAATTTTGTTCTTTGAGACAATTTAGGGGAAACATGGTAGAAACTTCAAATACCTGATGTGGAAGAGGACTCTTGACTCTTCTACCCTAAAGGGTAAGAACTAAGATGAATTGGTCAAGGTTACAATGAAATAGATTTCAACTCAAAACAAAGAAAACCTTTAAACAGAGCTATGCTGTCACAGAACTGGCTAATGCAAAAGATCTTAAAGGTCAGTCACTGGTGATGTTCTAAGCATTCGATCATCTGGGGGTTTTGTCATAAAGAGGATTCAAGCAATTATTTGATTCAATTCAATTTGATTCGATTTGATTCAATTAAATGGTTTTTCTGACCTTTCATCCTAAAAGTCTGTGGTTCTATGAACTCAGTAGTAATCACAAGACTAGTTCTTCTTCTCAACACAAGGCTTAGTCTTTCATACTCTTGACATCCTTTGTGTTTGGTATAGCTGTGTAATTTCTTTAACATAAATTTATTTATTTATTTTTAAAGATTTATTTATTTATTTATTGGGGGTGGGTAAGGGTAGAGGGAGAGGGAGAAACCCAAGCAGACTCCAGGCTGAGTGCAGAGCCTGACACGGGGCTCAACCCCATGACCCGAGCCTAAACCCACAGTCAGCAGCTCAACCAACTGCGCCACCCATGTGCCCCTCTTTACCATAAATTTAGAGGACAGGATGAAACCTCAGTCAGAGCTCATATATATCAAGATAGAGACAGGGCTGACATCAGTTTTTCTTTGCTACTTATTAATTTAGTATGAAGTCATGTGTCTGTTAGTATATTGGGTGAGAACAACGAACTGTTCTATAATCATTAAAAAACGGAATTATTTTAACAGTCATACTAGTCCTGGGGATTCTTTTCTAAAGAACTAAATGTATATGTAGCATACCATGAGATAATCAAATACTAACCTCCTTCATTTTTTCCAGTTCATTCTGTAAAGCTTGCTTTGCAATCTCAACTTCTATAAGCTGTTGCCTCAGTTTTTCATTTTCATCTTCTGTTGTTGTTCGCTTTTCTTCCACATTTTCCAATTCGTGGTGAAGTCTCACAGATACATCCTTTGCAACCTAAATTGAAGTGTTTTAACAATAATATGTAATTAAAGACAATACAATAAGTGAGCTAAAGTTATATTCACATTAAAACTACTAAGAGCCAAAAATAAATAAATAAATAAAACTACTAAGAATCAATACAGAAATTGTTTCTACCAGATACCAGTCATCTTTCCAGATGCTTCATATATAAGTCATTCACATACATAAATTATTTAGCCCTCACAACAATCCCATGATATAGGGACTATTACTATTCCTACTTTATAAATGAGGAAAAGGAGTCTCAGAGATGTGAAGTAATATGCTCAAGGTCATACAGCTAACAAGTGGTCAGGTAGTCTGGCTCTCCACTCTGTTCCCTTAACCTCTATACTCACCAAGGTCATAGATGTTCAACTGTGATTTGTCATGTGTATAGAAATCACATATCTCCTCTAATTCTACAACAACACTAGATATTTCCTATATCACTCATTTTAAAGACTAGAAAATGCAGTTTTCACAGGTGAGGTGTGGGGCTTGAATTTTGATCCTATGATGTCAGGTGCTCACTTTCAGGAAACTATCAGTCCTTGAGATTAAGTTTTGTTTTGTTTTACAGTGTACATTTTTGCCTTTTGCTTTGAGATCATCTTGGAAATTTTAGGGTTTGGAACAAAACCCTTTGGTGTAGTATTATGTAGTGGCTCAGGACATAGACTGTAGTTTTATACTGGGTGGGGAGACAGCCTGGCCACCTATTAGCTGATTCCCAGGGCTGGGGGCTGGGCACTTTACCTCGGTAAAAGGTTCAGCTTCCATACAAGAAGAGCAAGATGATGCTATTAATAATCCCAACCTCATAGGTGCTTTTTGTTTTTTTTGTCTTGAGCTAACATTTAGAGAAATAACTCACTGTTAATATATATAAAAATGCTTGCCACAGTGCCTGGTGCATAGTGAGCACTGTTAGGAAAAGAAAAAAAAATACAATGACTCTCATTAAGTGTTTTCTCACAGCTTTCTTTAAAACAAATATAGGATAATTACACTTGATTTTCATATCTTGAGGAAGTTAAAATAATTAAAATTATGTTTGGTTGTCCAAGGTTATGAAGACAACACTGGTTTGCATTGTCAGTGAATCGGCCTACAGTCAAACTGAACTGAACAGACCACACCTACTTAAAAAACATATTTCAAGGTTAAAATTTAACCACTGGGGGAAATTCTAAAGGAACAGCTTCACATTAAGAATGAGGTTCTTTCATTTACTCACTAGCTCTTTACTTCTCCAAAAGGGGCGGCAAATTGGACAGATTTTCTTTCAGGGAGTTAGCAAAGTACAGAAAGGAAGGAGTCCTGGAAGAAGGAGGTTAGGGGGACTTGCAGCGAGAAACCCTAACTCTAATATCTTCCCAACGCTGTTCCTGTTCTGGCCTTCAATTACTCTCCCTTCAGGAGTCTTCATCACGCTGCTCTTGACTGCCTGATTTCACCTGGCCTTTACTTGGAAGACAGCCTCTGGAGGCGCGATCAAGCAACGATCTGCGCTCTGCCACGCCCGCGTTTCTGCCGGGGGAGGCGCTCTCCTCCCATCATCTCTGGAAGAATCACCGTTACTTCCAAGAAAGCCCACAGAGCTCCTTTCCGCAAGGCCTTCCACGCACACTGGACTCTTCAAACCCACTGGCCTGTGTTTCCCTTTCCCCTGCATGGAACCTGATATTTCGTGGTTAGCGCTGCGAAACTCCGTGTCTTTGCTAATGACCAGTGAAGGCCTTTCCTCGCAAAGAGGTCCTACACGCAGCCCCTGCCCCGCGCCCCCGCACCGCGCCCCCGCTCCCCCCAGCCCCGGCTCCACAGACCTTGAGGTCCTGCTCCAGGCTGCGCAACAGCTCCCCGTCGATTTCCCCAGTCTGTGCGTAGCGGAGCCTTTTGCGCTCGGCTTTGCGGAGGCGGTACTGCAGGATCCGGCAGTTTTTGTTGGCTCTCTCCAACTCGTGGCGCATTTCCTGCAGTTGACAGGCATCCTCCTCGAAGAAAGTGTCCCTCATCTCGTCCATCTCGGTCCTCAGCTCATCAATCTCGTTCTGAGGCGGTGACAGGCCGCGGGTCAAAATTAACCTCGCCCCCTGCCACCCGGACATGCACCGTATGCACCCCATTCCATCTCCAAATTCTCAGTTTTATTGCCCCTCTCCATGAGACAGGAGTGACAGAGCTGAATGAAGAAGAAACTAGAAAAACGGGCCTTCTTTGGGCCTTCTTGAACTCTCCTACTCTATCTCTCTCCATGAAAAAGTGGGACAAACCATGATAATTAGAGAAACGAAGGCCCAAATTTGGGTTTAAATTAAGATCTGGAGGCTACTAATCTTAGGCCGTTTTAAATCTAGAAAAGGCCTAGGAGCCCCCTCCTCTGGTTTCCTGTTCCCTTCCCTCTTTAAGGCTCCCTAACAGGTTAACAGCCTCTCACCCTCGCGGGACACGCCCTAATCCTCCGAGGCCCACACCGCCCCTCCCCCACCGGGTTCCCCCCACCCTTCTCACCTTGAGAGTCTCGTTTTCCTCTCTCAGCTTTTCCATCTCCTCCTGCATTTCTTCCTGCTCCTGGAGCTGCTGCGGGTGCGGCTGCGACGAAGGAGGCGCCGCCGCCTGCATGCTCCCTCCACTCGCGCTGCCCTCGGCGCTCTGCTGGGGGCCCTCCGCTGCCGCCGCCATTGGGGAGACGGAAGGGACTGCAAGAGGCTCGCAAATGGCAGGGGCGCCAGCGACCGGGGAGCTGCGGCTGCTGCTGCCGCCGTTCTTAGTGTGCATCTGAGCCGCGGCTGCCGCCGCTGCCGCTCGCTCCTTCTTGAGGTGGAACTGGATGAGCTCAGACTGCAGACATCCTTCCTTCCAGTAGCTCCCACCGCCACCGCTGCCGCCCCCCACAACACCGCTTCCGGAGTTTCTGCTGCCGGGGCCTGGGGTTTTGCCCGCAGAGGAGGATGGTGAAGGGGAGGCCCCCTCCCCGCCGCTGCCGCCCCTCTGCTGAGCGCGTACGCCTTTCCCTCGCCAGCCCCTGGGCGGCGGCGGCGGCTGCGGAGCGCCCCCCTCCCTTTCTCCGGAGCCGCCGCCGGCTCCTCCTCCTTCCCCACCCCCTCCTCCTCCTTCCCCGAGTGGAGGGGGTTCCCCGAGTTTGGCGGACACTGGCTCTAGCTCCCGGGATGGCTCCTCCGACGGGCCAGGCCTCCTGACGCCCACCGGGGCCAGGGTCGCCGCGGGGGCCGCTTCAGCACCAGCCGCGAGATGGACAGCTCCCGGCGCTGCCCCTTTGGGCGCCAGGGGCGCAGCCTTCTCCGCCCCGCCTCCGCCTCCTCGGGCGCTGGTCGGGGGCACTGAGCGACTCCCAGTCTTGTTGCCCTGCTGCTGCTGCAGCTGCTGCTGTCGAACAGAGTTGAGTTTAGTGCCGGCCCCCACGGGGGACCGGGTGGTCGCGGTCGTCTGTCGGACCGAATTGTCCCTTAATCTGGCAGGTGATTGAGCACGCTGCTGTTTTCTGCTGCTGCCCTCTGGGTGCAGTCGAGCCTCAGTGGCAGAGGCGGCCGCAGAAGCTGTGGCTGTGGCAGGGGCAGCGCCCCCCATCGGTGGCTGACTCATGGCGGTCTAGGAAGAATCTACCAGATGAGATTTAGAATGGTCCATCACCAGATCATTCTTTTCCCTCCTCAAATCCGCCAACCTCCCTTTCTAATCTGGGATAGAAATAGAAGGGAAGCACACAACATGTCTGCATTGTTACAGAGCAAAGGGTGATTTCCCCATAGAAGAGAAGCCCTAGAAAATCGTGACATTTGGAAAGCACTTAATAAAAGCCTTGAGTTTAGGAATAGGATGCAGAATAGTCAATTCTCATTTTGCCCAGGGAGGCACCGTCTCCATTTCACTCCATAATGATCTGAAAGCAGCTGAGCCTAACATTCTCACGGTAGCAGGTTCTGGCAATGGTGAGATATGGGTCAGAAAGGAATTGATGGGAAGGGAGATTAAAAAAAAAAAAGGTGAGGGGATAAAGTCAGGAAGAAGCTTCAGAAGGAAAAGGAGATGTCCACACGCTAGAGTTGAATACCCTGCTTTTTTAACTTTGGTTTTCCTCCTTAAAACCCAGTTTAGTAGAGAACATTTTATTTAATTACTATTCTCAATTAGAGGAAAGGGGTTATGATGTAGGTTCCTAGAGGAAATTTGCTGTGGATACATGGTACTTGTCTCAGACAGCTCTGACTCTTAATGTTGCTCTTGGTTAGAGAAATGCACCCATTTTCCTTTAGTCTAGAACTAAAATAAAAGTAATGAATGACTTTAAATCAACTTCAGTTTAAGAAAGTAATGGCATTCAGAATCATCTATATGGTTTAGTTATTAGTAACCCTAAAAGTGTTCTTCTTTAAGCTTTGGTAAATAATTTTTAAAATACTTTTGGAAAAGTTTATTGGCGGCTCTGCACAATTTCTTAAATTATAGATGATGACTTCCACATTTATCTGAATTTTATAGTTCTTGTGAGTCATTTTAGTTTTAAATGTAATTGCCAGATAGAAAATATTTTCATTTTTAAACATCTTATTACATGGTATATATCATAGGTAAAGTTTATATCAGAGGTAAAGTTGTACTTTTAAAGTGCCTGGTTCCTCCTATGGAGCCAAATTCTGAGACAGAATGACCCTGCACCCAAGAAACCTGGGGCATCCTTACTCATGGTGGCACCATAAGCCTCTATTGTGTATTTCCTCCAAGATAAAACTATCACTAGCTTTTAAAATCTGGAAAATAGCAAGCCAATGCCTCCTGTGTTCTTCTCCCTAGTGATCCAGCTACCTGATCAGCTGTAAGTTTGGTGTTTTTTCCTTAGAGCTATCATCTCTCTTTAAAGCACTGAAAAGGGTATGACTAGGCAGAAAGTTCTCCTTAAAAAAAAAAAAATCCTCCTATTAGGAGAGGAGATGCTTGCCAGTTATTTTACTAGGATTATTACTGTTATTGTCCATTTTAAGTATCATAACTTAGTGAACATGCAGCAATTCCTCATTTTATGAATAAATATTACTGGAAGTTTCCTTCTGCACCTTTCTCTTTTTGGGATCTCCTTCCAACTGTTTAAAAAATAATAGCGAACAAAGAAGTCACTAAGGGGGAAAAAGTTATCCACCAACTTATTTTCTACATGTTCTCCAGAGCCACATGCTCCTAGAATGTCTGGCCTAGTTCAACAGCATGGGTCACAATAATGTGGACCACTTAAACAAGCTATATTGCCAATATATTGCCAATAATGCAACCTTACTTTTGTTTTGAATTAGGCATAATCACTCAGGAGCTGAGAGCCACCTGACAACGTTTAAATTCGGCCCCAGACAGCTCCAAACCAGGAGAAAGCTCAGGTTCCAGGAACTCGGCTCCCACAACCAAAGGTACCAAGCTGTCACGTGATTCTCACAAAGTGACAAGATGCTGTGCCTCTTCAAGGCTTCCCCCGTGGAAATCGCCAACCAAGCAACCCCGGATGGGCACAAACCAACAATTTTCATCTCATATTTTATCTGCCCACTGACCCACCCCATCTCTCATCCCCATCCCTTTAGAAATCCAGAAGAACTGCTCACTTCTCTGCAGACGCGATGTTTCGAAGTTGATGCAAATCAACAGCGCTTTCCTTCTGATCCTCCGGCGACCTCAGGGTTTATTTTTTAAATTTTTTTTTTTTTTTTTTTTTTTGTCTTTTAAAGACAAGGAAAGTTTAACTTCGTAGTATTATATGCGACTTTTTGGCTGAGCACGACTTTGGGCCCTCTCGCCCCAGTTCCACACCCACTCGATTTCTCCAAACAATGGCGTTAACGTGAAGGTTCGGCGGCCCCCAGAGCCGGTTACTTCCCGCGGGCCGCGACTCGGCTGGAGCTGCGGCTCCGGGCAGGCGAACGCGCGAGGTACCAAGCGGTGCCAGACGCTCCTCAGGAAGTGCACTGATATTCATGAGCTGACCTCACCGGACTGGGCAGGGGAGAGGGCGGGATTGCAAGGGAGGATAGGGTAGAAGTAACCAAAGAGAGGCTACTTTCAAGAGGAAAGAGACGAAGGCGGGGACGGGCCGGGAGGCGGGGGGTGATAGGGAAGGTGGCAAGAAGACAAAAAGGCTGGAGCCACACCCGAGGTGGAAGATCCGTAGCCGCACTCAAAGTCCGTGCTGGGCTCCCATATCCTGTACTTGGCAGGGGATTCCAAAACCACTCGAAATCGGATCCACTGGTTTTCTGCAAAGCTTTGTCCTGGGCGGATCAATCTCCATCAATTATTTACTTGAGCTCTTTTCTCTGGGAGGCGTATTCGAACAGCCTTCCGGGCGTGACTGACGTCTCCTGATGCAGCTGCGAGGAGCTGGCGGGCGGCTGCTGGGAGTTCTCTTTGTTCGCTCACTTTAATTCTCGTAGAGCTCTCCACGCGGTGCACCTTCCCCACCCCCAGCCCGGGCGGAGTCATCAGACGTCGCTTCCCCGAGTAGATAATGGTTGCCAGACCCACCGTCCCAGGGACAAAGGGCTCTTGTGATACCACCACCAATTTAGTGCAAACCGAATAAATATCGGTTTACAGAGATCGTTTACAGCCGAGGTTGCCCTCGGTATATATTCTTTCCTTTACTAAGTTCTAGTTTCTACTGTGAATACAAGAAGCAATTGCTAGAATCCATAATCTTTATTGTAGTGCATATGGTTAACAGGAATCACGGAGTGTATTTATAAAATAGGAAATTAAAGGAAATTCAGGGAGGAAAAGAGGGAATTCAGAATATATGTCTTTACAATGCACACTAATCCATACGGTTCCACAATAATGTTTTTTAAATACGACTGGAAAATTCTTTTTCCTTCCAGTTTTTTTTGGGGAAGGGAGGGTTAGTATGAAGGTCTCCCTCCTACCTCAAAGAATTCCTTGGTGAACTTGAAGATGAGAATAAAAGTAAACACTGCTTTAGAAAGGGTATTTTTTGTTCCAAATTTTTCTCATATTAATATGTGGTTTTGTAGGTAAAAAGTCAATATATTATTTTTTATGCTAACATGAATTTTAGTGCAAGAGATTTTATTTTCTGAGTGTAACATCTTGCATTAAAAATGTAATAAAAACAACTTAAGAATAGTTTGCATACAAGCAACATAATTACAGCAAAATAAAAAGATGTTTAAGCCCTGGTGATTAGTAGCTCCAGCGATCTATAAGACAAAAACATTCATGTATTCATCTGCTCTAGAATAGATAAGAGCCTATTTTATGCCTGGCACTGTCCAAGGTGCTAAGTATGCAAAGATAAAACAAATACTTCCTGTCTGGGAGGCTCAAGCATATTGAAAGGAATCGGGACAATTTCCATAAATTCTTTGTGTAGTTTTTAAAAGTGGAAATGTGGTATCTGTGACATCTATAAGGAATAGCTCAGACCTCGACTAGGCTACAAAACTAAGGGGGGAAAAAAGCAAAATAAAATATAATCACAACTTATTTGGAATTTATATTAGACAACTTGTCATTATGTACCCAAACTTGAGTTGTAATTTCCTTAAGAAATACCAAGATCCACAGGTCTCATTCAATCAAAATGGATAAATTGGATAAAAATATTTTTTTCAGATTGATCTTTACAATTAAAATAATGATATTATAAACATAGTCTATGGACATAAATGTACCTGGTCCTACTTCTCTAAGAACTTGTACTGTGTTCAGTTACCTATATTTCAGTTTTTTTCCTAAGGTAGTATTATTTATTTCAGTATAATTAATAACTTAAAAAGTCTAATAAAACCAAGAATTTATTATCATGCCTGCTTAAATCAAGTAGTCACTGTGCTTAAATATGTCATTTCATAATTTAGTATTATGTAATTTCAAGGTTGAAGACTATTAATAAAGAATAAAAATAAGCAATATTAAGATGCTTCTCTACTCATGTAAATATGCCATAAGAACTTTTGAACTAGAAAATTATTCTTTTATTTGCTAGTTAAAATTATATTTAGTCAATTAAGCAAACCCCAAAGGTGATTATTCAAAGATTTGTCAGAATTTAGAAAAACTTCAGTATTATTTTTACTGTGTTTCAGAAGCGGACAGGTCAACTGACCTTTTAATTCTGTAATAATGTATCATCCGCTCTGTTGCACAGCATGATGTGCATCTTCATTCGAGGGAAGAAGGCTAAAGTCTCAATTTCAAAGTCCTTAAATACATAGCTTAAAATATCTACCCTTTGATTCTCAAGACTTTAACTTATAAAGGTATCTTTATATAGCTTTACAGGTTGCGAGACGCTTTCACTTTGTATGCTTAAAATACTGTGAAGTAGATACTACTTTCTCCACTTAAAACATGGAGTAACTCAGTTTGAGATGGTAAGTGACTTATTTAAGTTAAATTTCACAATCAGAACTTGAACTTGGGTCCTCTCTTATATCAAGTCTGCTTTTTATATTCTTCCCACATGCCTCTTTTTCATACCAGGAGTTAAAAAAAAAAATCAAGGCTGATTGACCTTGACTTTTACTGACATATGTATGCAGTCACAAACCGCATTTGTTCTCTAGATTACATTTTAGATAATGATTTATGAATCATAGGCTCCTTGGGTTGTAAACATCTGGTTCATCTTTTTATGTCTATGCAGATTACCCAAACCATACTATATATTCTCTTTTGCCTAATTTCTATGCTACAATTTCTCAAAGTAAATGTACATATGTTGTAACTTAACACTGTGACCAAAAACTAGTCAATTCATATATTGGATTCAGGCTGCTTTATGAATGGCAGAAATTGCTACTGTACTATGAATGCTTTAGTTACTCATGCATTTGCTGTTGTGTAAGTTTGCAGTTAGGTATTGCATAGTCAAAATTCTGTTGCATTACTTCTATAAATGCTCATGAATATTCACTCTTGGTAATTCAAGCCAATGTCTAGGCACTCACCATAGCCAAAATTCTGTCAGAGTTTGATTTCAACTTAGTACAAATTTTGATCTTAATCTTAGTGGAAATTTTTAATAAGTCTGCTAGTTATTATGTAAATGCTATGTATATTTAAGATTACATTAAATTTCCCCTAATATCAAAATGGTCAATTTTTTATAGCAGTGTTTTAATAACCCTTTATCTCACCTCTAAATCCTCCATCATCAATAATTAAACTGACCTAATATAAGGATAGTAGGCTAATTCTCATTATGCCAGACCAACAAGAATGGCATCCTAAGTTACCATGTATTTCACTAGGAAATTTTAGCACAAGTTTTTAATTTTTGCCTCCTACCTTCCCCCACGCTGTCTTAAAAAAGTATCTAAGGGTCCTCCTCTGCATAGACATAATCAAGCAAAGATTCTACTAATGGTAAATGGATCTGCTCATTTTTTATATTATTATATGCCTGAATATTTGTTAAATAAGAGGCAAAAGTAATATTTAATATTTAGTTGATCCAGTTATAGAAAAATAAGCAAAATGCCACCTATATTTTATATTCTATTATCCTGTTTTCTTCTTGTTCTTAAATATCAGTGAGGTTTTTATTCAATGTCTAGTCACTAAAGTTTTGGATCCTGTAATATGCTATGCAAAGATCAGGGTGCTCTTTTTTTTCTTTTAATATTTTATTTATTTATTTGAGAGAGAGAGAATGAGAGTGGTGAGGGGCAGAGAGAAAGAATCTGAGCAGACTCTGCAATGAGCATGGAGCCCAATGTGGGTCTCCTTCCTGACCTCGAGATCATGACCTGAATAGAAATTAAGAGGTGGGTGCTCAGCCAACTGAGCCACCCAGGTGCCCCAGGGTACTCTTTTATCTGATGATCCTAGATTACTTTGACTTGATTTATTATTCACTGTGATATTTATTGTACGTAAATGTTCACTCAGACATACTCAATTTAAGATAATTTGAAGAGGGTTTATTTACAATGGGACTATTTATGAGATGTACACTGGATATAGGAAAAACCACAATGGATACTTCAATAACTTGGGGTTAAATACCAGGGAGGAGTTATCAGCACACTTTGTAAAAAAAAAAAAACAGAGAGAGAGAGAGAGACACCATTGGCAATAGTATTAAAAAGATGAGGGGACAGAGTGGTCATTGGAACCCAGAAAAATAAATTTGTGTAGAGCATGCCACTTGAGAACAGTGATTTTCTACTGGCTGACATAATTAGCTCAAGATGACCTCACTGTCCTCCCTGCCTCTGGTCTCCTGCTGGGGGTCTCTTTTGGCTGATCCAATTAAATCCAGAGACCTATGGAGGTATTTGATGTGATCCACTGAGGCCAACCTCCTGGTTGGAGGAGTCAAATATAAGATAATCAGCACAAGTAAGTAAGAAGTAAGTCAGACAGAGAAAGACACATACCATATAATTTCACTTGTATATAGAATCTAAAAAACAAAACAAACAAGCAAAACAGAAATTGAGTCATAAATACAGAGAACGCACTGGTGGTTGCCAGAGGGGAGAGGGTGGGGGTATAGGCAAAATAGGTGAAGGGGATTAAGAAGTATAAACTTCTAGTTGTAAAATAAATGAGTCACAGGGATAAAAAGTACAGCATTGGGAATATAGTCAATGATACTGTAATAATTTTGTATGGTAACTACACTTATCATGGTGAGCATTTTGTCATGTACATAATTGTTGAATCAATATGTTGTACACATGAAATGAATCTAATGCTATATGTCAGCTATACCTCAATTAAAATAAAGAAGATATTTATCACAATAAGCAACAATATGATCAATAACTCAAAGACTTTAAAATTACTATGTTTTTGGGCGCCTGGGTGGCTCAGATGGTTAAGCGTCTGCCTTCGGCTCAGGTCATGATCCCAGAGTCCTGGGATCGAGTCCCGCATCGGGCTCCCTGCTCCTCGGGAGCCTGCTTCTCCCTCTGCCTCTCTCTCCCTCTCTCTGTCTCTCCTGAATGAATAAATAAAATCTTTAATAAATAAATAAATAAATAAATAAATAAAATTACTATGTTTCTCACAAACTCATATTTTTCATGCATGATACAGATCTTAAAATTTCTATTTTCAGAAAAAGCATACATTTTTTAGATATTTCTTTCAATACTAGTAATGAATTTTCTCTATGGGCATTTTCATTGGATTGCATATTAATCAATTGAAGGGTTTATCATTTTTATGATATGAATTTTACCTCTACATTAACATGGTACATCTTTTTATTCAATTAGATTGTCTTTCTGAACCTGAATAATCTTTTTTGTTTTCCCAAAGAGTTTACACATCCTTTGTTAGATTCATTCCTAAGTATTTGATATTTTAATG